GGGGGTATACAAAATAGTCGAGTTAACGCATCATGCTTTTCATCAATTTCTCTCAAAACCATATGATATCTTCTATGAATTTCGTCAGAAACTCAATTAAGTCCTAGTATAGGAGATATAGGAGGCATCGGAGATATTAGAGATATAGAAGATACTGGAGATATTAAAGATATATGAAATATTAGAGATATAGAAGATACTGGAGATATAGAAGATATTTGAGGTACAGGAGTAGGATGGTGAATTGACCTTTGATCTATGATCTTTCACTAGGGAACACACACGAAGCATTATTGACCAATAGACTTTTTCTTATAGAAGATGTGAAAGATATATATCTCTACTCTCTTGATCTCGAAAAAACCTAGAATCAATCCTAAGATATAAATTGAGCACCACTGATCAAATATAGAACCTTGATTACATAGTCTTTACAATATTTTTCGTTCGTAAACAATTCTTTTGCGATTGCAGAAGTGCAAAATAAATTCTTACATAGAAGCTGATAGAAGATATAAAAAGCAAACTGAATTCACCTTGAATCAATGGACGCTTGAAACATTCTTGCAATCTATTGCACTACAGTCAAATCTGTGTTAATAAAATGTGAGCGGTCACGCTACCACAAGGTACACATTACATACATTTTATCTTACCATCGATTAAAATATATTATACACTTAATACTTTATTGATCGACATATCAACAAGAAACAATAATGAACAACATTTCTTTGTTATCGCAGTTGAACATAACAATCAAAAGCGCCACTTTTTAAGTCTTATAATTGTCGAATTATCAAAATTATTACATTCTTTAGAATCACCCAAACGTACATTATATGAGATTCTATGTCAAAATAATTTTTGTAAATTATATTTCGATGTTGATATATATATAGACAAATCTTTGTTATTAAATATCCAAGAGTCTCTAGCAATCTTACAAAATCTATTTCATTATATTATTTCAAATTGTACTAATCAACTTACACGTAATTCAACATCAATTGCTGATCATTTTCTTGTTTTATCTGCATCAACAGAATTAAAACATAGTTATCATTTCATTTATACAAATACAATTGTACGATTTGAATCACAACAAACTATCTTTCAATTCATTATGATGATATTGTACTATTGTTCATATTTTATTCTATCACATTCATGCCACCAACAATTTTTACAATCTATTAATATACATACAGAAAACAATTTCAATAATTGTCTTATACATTTACAAACAATTTTAACTCGTACAGATTTCTGTAATTGTATAATACCTTCAACTAATGTAACTTGCAATAACTTTCAAAAGCTTCTATTCAAAAGTACTTTTATTTTTTCGCCATTTATTTGATTAATATGATTTCATTTTCAATGGATTCAAATGGTTTTTACCAATGGATATTTGATCTTCATGTTTATAGTAAAAATCAACAATTCAGATTATACAAAGCAACGAAATTTGGACAAGATAATCCTTTATTAACAACATCTGATTTTCCTTTCAATGGACAAAATGAACAACATGATATGTTTATGAATAATATCATCAATTATGATTCTATTCTGAATCATGCATTAATATCTTACACGATAAATAATACAAATCTTTTAATCTTTTCATATAATGAGAGTAAATGGTCATTAACCGACCGACATAAAAATCACATAATGAACTTAACTACTACAAATTATTTTACATCTTTAACTATATCAAACACATCTGCATGCGTAGCTAATCGAGTAAAAAGAACAACTACAATAAATACAACTGAAGTATCCAACAAACAAGATCATTTTAAAAATTTTATTTCAAAATTAATAGCAAAAACATATCATACAAATGGTTACGTACTATCATGTCAACAAGCGACTAAAAATCACTCGTTATTATTTTATAACATTGGTGGTGAATTTCGCTTTTGTGAACGTTTACAACATCATCATAAGTCAAATCACACTTGTATTGTTATTGATACTGTTACATATAAATATCAAATTAAATGTAAAGATCCGGATTGTAGAAACTTCAAACCACCATGGAAAGACATTTCTTAATTTATCGAATAAATATTAAACGCACATTCAAAATTATGAAAAAAATGTAAACATCTCTATTCTCGCTAAAAAAATGTAACTTTCGTTTAACTTCTTTTCTTTTTCTCCTTGCTCATATATTATAAGCATCATCTTATTAGTCATAAATTGTCGAATAAATATTGAATCATCATGTAGAATTACGAACAGACAATTTGAAACATCTCTTATTTTCATTAGACAACGATGTTATGGTCGTTTGACTTTTTTTTTGACCCTTGCTCGTATATTATATGCATCATTTTCTCAATTATAAATTATTTAATAAACATCAATTTATCATTTAGAATTATGAACAAACAATTTGAAATATCTCTTATTTCTTTTAGACAAAGATATTATCCATGTAGAATGTTTTTCTAGAATTCGTATTTTGGTGAAGGGAAATTTTCACAAAGAGCTTCTGCTCTCTCTGCTGGCTGCATATTGTCGTCGTATCCCAGGTCCACCAATCCGATAGCGGATCCGATCGGATCTCATAGGATCCGACCAGCCGACAAAATCCGACAGGATTCCGTGTAACGGAATCGCTAACGGATCCGACGGTCGGATCCTAATGGAATTCCGATCATATCCGACTGTGGGAACTGATAGGTATTCCGGCAGCCGGATTATGTCGGAAACCGTGTAATGTGGAAAATTACACTTCCGTCAGATTTTGTCGGAAAATGTCGGACTCACTTCTGATTGGCTGGGCAATAGCCAATCAGAATTCAGATACAATTTTACCTTATTTTGATAGAGATTAATCACAGTCATCGCTAGGGGTGGCACTTTAACTTTACTTTAAAAGTTAAAGTTAAAGTGGCACTTTAAACTTTAAACTTTAATTAAAGTGAAAAATTTTACAACTTTAAACTTTAATTAAAGTTTAAAGTTTAAAGTGTTTTTAAAGTTAAAGTGCCACCCCTAATCCTTGGGCTGTAAATCTTATATATTTTATATCTAAATGTTTAAATACGAAGGTGTGCATCCGTCGGATTTCATCGGAAATTGTAGGATTTCATTTTTCTGTCAAACAAGAAGGAATAGCGATCCTTGGGCTGTATATTTTATATTTTTTATATGTGAATGTTTAAATACAAAGTTGTACATCCGTCGGATTTCATCGGAAATTGTAGGATTTCATTTTTCTCGCAAAGAAGAAGGAATAGCGATCCTTGGGTTGTAAATTTTATATTTTTTATATCTAATGTTTAAATACAAACTTGTGCTTCCGTCGGATTTCATCGGAAATAGTAGGACTTCATTTTTCTCTCAAATAGGAAGGAATAGCCATCCTTGGGCCGTAAATTTTATGTTTTTTATATCTAAATATTTAAATACAAAGATGTGCATCCGTCGGATTTCATCGGAAATTGTAGGATTTCATTTTTCTCTCAAACAAGAAGGAATAGCCATCATTGGGCTGTAAATTTTATATTTTTTATATCTACATGGTTGAATAGAAAGATATGCATCCGTCGGATTTCGTCGAAAATTGTAGGAGTTTAGCTTTTTTTTCTGTTTGAAAGAACAATGTTCTACTTCCGTCGGATTCGCTTTGGAAATTGTAGGATCCTATCGGTTCGGTCCGATCGGATTTTGTCGGACGCCGATAGTGGGATCCGAGCGGTTCCGCCCCGTAGGATTTTATCGGCCGCCGATAGTGGGATCCTATCGGATCTGGAATCCGACAGGATTCGTATGCGTTTTCGTTTCACGGAATCCGTTGAGATTCCGATAGGATCCTCTGGGATCTTATAAATTCCTATGGGATCTGATCGGATCCGATTGTCGGATTGGTGGACCTGGGATGCTATCAGTAATGTGTAAATTAGGTATTATGAAAATTAGAATTTTAATGTTACAGATGGTAAATTCAATGTTTATGAATTATATAATGACATAAATTGGTTTACGTTGGAATTGTTGGAAAATATTATGTAGTACAATGATTGTTTCTCGTTCCCAGGTCAATCACGCCCCATCGGCTCCTGTCGGTTCCAAATAATTTCGACTGAAACCTATATCAATTTTGTCGGAATCCTAACTAACGGATTCCGACGTCGGATCTGACATCGGATTTGCATAAAATCCGATCGAATCCTGTCTGTTTTTGTCGGATTTTACCGGATTCCGGTCCGGATATCGTCGGAATCCGTTAGTTAGGATTGATTGACCTGGGTTTTCTCTTATCGAAATGCTGGTTTGTATTGTAGCTTTAGCTATTGTCCAGTCTTTCAGATTTTTATTTCATAATTTATTCAAAAATTCCATTACAGGTTATATATCGTTTGAAGACGATAAAAATTGTAAATGGAAAATTTAATACAATGTTCAAAAAAGAACGTTAATAAAAAAACAATGTATGCAAGAAAAATATACATGTATATACTTTTGCACACAGAATATATATAAATAGAACAGAAAAGAGTTAGTTCAAAATGAATTTACAATAGAGAAAAAAAATAATATGAAAGTGAAGAGATACATAGTCTTGAACTCTTTTGCTAAAAAAATATGTAAAAGTTTTTTTTTCTTTGTTAAATTATAAAAGAGACAAGAGATTATCTTTACATGATGAATCATAAAGCATATATACAATCGAAAAAATGCTTATGATAATCAAATATAAAATAGATCTAAAAAATTATATAGATATAAATGCATGTGATAGTAAAATAATAGCAATTTTTTTATTTATAATTAGACGTTGAATAATGCTACTTTGATACTTGAATACGTTTATTACGTTTTGGTTCTAACAATAAAACAAAAATATTTTCATTTTACAAGAGATTAAAGTTTTCCTTACTACTTGACTCGTGAAGTACTGCTGATGGATCAATTGACAATCTTTTTTTTAGAAAATTATTCGAATTTATGGTGTTAACTAATTCTTGTGAATAAAGCTAAGAAGATTGTTTAATATCTGATACATCAAGTGTCCGTGGAAGACTTTCAGCTTTTTCTTTTTTGAAAGACTGATCGAAATCAGTAAAATCGATACCATATTTTGCCAGGGCACTGGCAAAGTGCTTTTGTTGTTGAGTACCATTTTCAGGACGTCCATTAAGATAACCATTTGTTAAACTTACTATACCTTTTAGATTCTTCGTAGCAAACCAATCGCCCATAAAAACCAACTTATCATTTACTAAATTGCGAATAATTTGTTCTCGATTTTATGCAGATACAGACAAATGTTTCAGTTTAACACAAATATCTGTTTTTGACATTACTGTTGAATGTGACAAGATTAACTTTTGATAAATTTCAGATGTTATTTCCTCAGTTTGTTCTTGGCCTACTGTTGAAGAAAACAAGATTTAATGAGTATCAATACTGATAATGTATATGATGGTGAAATAACTTACAATCACCTTCATGTACTTCACTGGAAATTAATGATTTACCAATATCGAGGTGTTTATTTTGCCGATCTAATTTAGATTTAATAGCAATAGTAGAACCTGAAGTTGATGTTGTTGTATCAAGAAATGATATACTAGCGTCGGTGTCTCTGTGTACACCTATCATAAACAGAAACAAATTATTAAAACTTTATATATGTCACGATTTCTCAGCACTAAATCATCTTATAAGACATATTTCCACTATTTCTATTATTCTCTCATCTTTTTAGTTCTTCTTTTTTAGTAATTATCCATATTTTTCTACAAGAATTATACTGGTTATTGCTTTTTAGAATATGTAGAAAATACTAATGTTGTTTGATGAAATGTAATTGAATAAACTAATTGCAAAATAAAGTAGTCCATCAATCATTTATTTATTTTAAATAAAAAGATAAACAGTAGAACTTTCAACCTCTTTCAAAAGGTCATTGTCAACACTAAAATAATATGATAGCAATTTACAGATAGTATACAAAATAATTGTTTTTCCTGTTCTCTTTTCGTTCTGTCTTGGACATTGTACTACGAAGGGGAGAAATTAAGTTGTCGTAGTACAATATTCAGAACACAACGAAAAGAGAAAAGAGAAAAGAAAAAAAACTGCTTGATATACTATCTGTAAATTTCTGTCATATCATTTTAGTGTTGAAAATGATCTTTTGAAAGAGGTTGAAGGCTTCACCGTAAACTTTTTTGTTTAAAGTAAATAAATGATTGACAAACTACTTTATCCTGCAATTACTATGTGGAAAAGAAACTGCATAAAAAACAATGTATTAACATATAAAATAGGAACAATTGATAAATTGGTATTCTTCTATCAAATGTATTCTGCTACTCAGCTATTGTAACTAATAAAAAAAATGAGATACCTGTCTCTCCTTCGTACTCTTTGAACAAACACAAATTAAAATGACTACTAACATACCATGTTCAGATGTGCTTGAATTCGATATATGATCCGCATGTTCCATCAATGTGTTTAGAAACGACGAAATACCAGGAATATCATCGATGTTGACATTTGAGGTGTTACCAGTAGTTGATGATAGAAATGTAGTAGAATCAACTCGATTTAAATCTGTATCGATTTCCATTGAATTATATTCATCAGCAACTTCTTCCGTATTATGAGGATCATCTAAAATAAAAATAAAATATAGTTTGATTAGACATGACTTTGTTCTAATTTAAAACGTTGGAATGATATGACAATTAAATAATTCATTGACAACACATCTTACGTGAATAGAATGATTCTATCAAAGTTAGAAAAACTCTACTGGAAAAATGAAATCATTTCAGCATTCTAGTTGTTTCATTTCTTTTTCTTCTCTAAAGGATATTTGTTCATTCTCAAGTGCAAAATACACGATTTTCTTGTTCGAAATTTTCATTTAGCTAGACACCACGTATCTTCGTGATACAAACTCTAGCAATTTTATTTTCTGAAAGACATGTGTTCAGTCAGAAACATAATCTCAACGAACTAATAACTAGAACAATTAGTATATAGTTTCACGAGCGAAAGATAAACGAAAAAGTGAATGTTGCTTTTACATTTATCTATACTCATGTATCCTGTCTAGTATTTACTTCTAGCAAAGATAAAATCTGATTCATCTCGGTGTTTTATGTTATATAGCCTAGTGAATTTATAAACAATATGGTATACAATAGTGACCAATATTATAAATGTTATCAACATTTATTTGATTTGCATTCAGGATTTTTTTTATGTCAATTTAATTGAGCAAAACATACCGATGGTAATAACTGATTCAGTTAAAATCGGTGAATCATGTAGCGATAGAGTGCAACATGTTTTTAAATTTGAAGATGGCATTATTGATTGTTCACTTGTAGTTTCATTATTTCTCAATCGTTTTTTTTGTGAACAAGTTCTTCTTGTAATGGACGTTTGAAAGAGGTACTGTTATTTTCAATAAGATCTATAATTGATTCAAAGATTTTTTATCAATAGATGTTTCGTAACTAGTTTGACATACCGCTCGATATCACTTGTGTCGTTTGTAAATTCTTATCTGTATCGCAATATGATTCAGTCATTTGAATAATCGATTGAAGTTGATCTAAATATGAATAAAAATCTTTTAGTCATATGAGCAAAAATTTTTCTGACTTGTTTCTTGAACTTTTTCTGTTTGTTTCTCTGGATTAATCTTGTCTAGAATCGGTTCGCGCAATTGATAATCTGTTATAATTGATAAATGAACTAAAAATTACATAAATGTTTTAAAAGGCTAGATGAAAATGATTTCAAAACAAACATACCAGGTGTACATAGAACCGATGATGTATCATTAGATGAATTACGAATTTTCTTCAAATCAAAAACAATCGATGAATAGTTATTATCTTTTAAAATGTCTTGTTCAAAATTGAACAGTTCTTGGTCAAGAGGACCAATATTTTGTTGATCATTATCATTTTGAAAATTAGCAGTATTGCTATATTCTATAGTTTGATGTGGTTTACATAATGAAGTTGGATTTTGAAGAAGAGATTTTGAAATGGGTAACGAGATATTTTTCATTAAAAGAAGTGGCAATTGTGATGAAGATGAGGTGTTGTTATTGTGTATTTCATTAAAATCAAATATTTGACTATTTTGACAATTAATATTATCTAGAAATCAAAAATGATTTTATTTAAAAATCTATTTAATTTTGAGAACAAAATATCTGTACTATAATCGATTTGTTGTGAAGCCGGAATTAATTGATATTGTTCTTTTCCTTGAATAACTCGACATTGAAGCATATGAGTCGAAACACGTCATTTCATTCCTCTTTCAATTCGAATATCATTGAATAAATGACAAACTGGAATGGGTGAATCCATGGGAAACGTACCACGTTTACATCGACTTTCTCAGAATTGGCTGAAATTTTCAGAGTCTGTAGAGCTCGATGAGCTGATCATTTTGGTAATAAATTCTTATGAGTTTGATTATGGATTAGGGTTGAAATATGCAAAATACAGTTTTCAAAAATTCGAGAAAATCATGGCCAAAGTGAAAAGTTCTGATTTTTGCGAGAACGTTTTCTCTTTTATTTTAAGATTAAAATGAAACATCCTATACATATTCTGATAGCCCGCGCTCAGTTCTATCGAACCATATATGAACCAAGACGTTTCAATTTCCTAAGAAAAATTTTTAATGGGACTATAATAACTTCACTGCTACACAAAGTTTCTCTCCTAATAAAAAATCTCTTCCGAATTTGGGTAAATTGTGGTCTAGTAGGTTTTGTAGAGCATCGAACGCTTTATCTTGTAGTATATAGAGCTTTGCAGCCGGTTTCCATTTTCGCGCATTAGAGAGTCAAAATGTTTATGTACTATTGTTTTCTGAAGGTTTCAGTTCATATTTCTGGATTTTTTAAAACAAAAATTCAATAAACTAAGCTGAAACTTTAAACTCAGAGGAATCTCAATTATTAGAATAGGAATCACAAAACAATTTTATTGACATTGTCTTGTCTTTCATATCATCCTACAATAGTAAAATGTCACAAGTCACGTTTGAACTCTCGATTGTTCAAATTTATCACTTTCTATAGGAATTACAGTTACACCATATTGAGATAACATAGGTATCTCAAAAGATTACTGATCGATTTCGAAAGATTTTGTTCACCTTCATTTCAACAATGTAACTCGAATGCTTTCGAACAGTGATATATGAAAAAACAAACAATATTACATTGTAATATTAGTGCTCTATGAGTAATATCAATATTGACATGAGATCAATATATTTATTTGCTTTAATACTACTATTCTTGTTTGTCATTGTTGTTTGTTGATGCTAAAAGAAAAGGACTTGAGAGCAACCCTTAAATCTAACGTACTTCACAGAAAATAAATCGATTCGTGTTTAATGATTTTACTTCAATATACTAGCTTTAACGGAATGTATTCTATGAAAATGAATATGAACTTCTTTTCAAACATATTTGGAACAGAATGAAAAAGTAGAAGCCATGAGGAAGAGATCAATTATAAGTGGTGGATTTGACTTGTAGTAGATTCTGATGTACGACGGCATTCGACTGTTCGAAAAAAATCGAAGTTACATTGTTGAGATGAAGGTGAATGAAATCTTTCGAAATGGGTAAGTAGTTCTTTGAGATACCTATGTTATCTCAATACAGTATAACTGTATTTTCTATTGAAAGCGATAAATTTGAACAATCAAGAGTTCAAACAAGACTTGTGACGCTTTACTATTGTAGGATGATATGAAAGACAAGACAATAGTTAATAAAGTTTTTTATGATTTTTATTCTAATGTTTGCAATTTCTCTGAATTTAAATTTTCAAACTAATTTATTGAGTCTTTCCTTTGAAAGGTTCAGAAATATGAACTGAAATCTTCAGAAAACAGTAGTAGATAAACGTTTTGACCTTCTAACGAGCAAAAATGGAAACCGGCTGCAAAGCTCTATATACCACAAGATAGAACAAGCGACGCTCTACAAAATCTACTCGACCACAATTCACCCAAGTTCGGAAGAGATTTTTTATTAGGGGAGAAACTTTGTGCAGCAGTGAACTTATTGTGGTCCCATTAAACATTTTCCTTAGGAAATGGAAACGTCTTGGTTCATATATGGTTCGATAGAGCTGAGCGCGGGCTATCTGAATATGTATAGGATATTTCATTTTAATCTTAAAATAAAAGAGAAAACGTTCTCGCAACATTTAGAACTTTTCACTTTGACCATGATTTTCTCGAATTTTTGAAAACTGTATTTTGCATATTTCAACCCTAATCTATAATCAAACTCATAACAATTTATTACCAGAATGATCAGCTCATCGAGCTCTACAAATGCTGAAAGCTTCAGCCAATTCTGAGGAAGTCATATATAAAGTGGTACGTTTCCCATGGATTCACCCATGCTTTCAGAAAATTCTACAATATACTGATCAGTATTTTCTTTATTACCTAATACTCCTTCATGCTAATAAGATATCGTCTGCTCACAATGGTAAGTGAAGGACATATCTATTGACTTTGAATCAAGGGTACTAGACTTAGAATGAATTGAAAAAGGTCAAATTGAAACTTATACTCACTACTTTTTGTTCAAAAAACATGTACGTTCCATTAAAAAAAATACAATAGTAAACGGTAAGAAAAAGAAAAAAGTAAGTAAAAAAGATTTGAACAGTATAAAATATATCTCTCCTATATCATGAAAAATTCTTTTAGATAATTCATTAAGTCCTAAAAGTACTATGGTCGTAGTTTTCGATATTAATCTCTCCTAGATAGAAAAGATAATATGAATTTCAAATTTTTCTCTATTAACGGCAACACTAATATGATTTTTATTACATTAAATTTAAGACGACATGTTCTAGTAAAGCAAAGGTCTGTTTCAACTGTTAGAAGAGTATATAAAAGTGACAAGCGAAAAGTTATTTTGTCGTTGTATGTGATCGCTTTGAATTGCTGCATAAGGAAACAGTTAATTGGTGATCATTAATCTGATATTGATCAGAATGTTCGATTACATTAGCTACTTGTTGATGGTCAGTATAACGGAGAAAAGCGTATCTGAAATAAAAATGAATAATATTAAATTAAGGTTATCTCTTCTAAGCATTTTGATATATTCAATTAAATTAATATCTATTAACTTCAACTTTTAGCATGTCGTATTATTGTTGTTCTAGCGTACGAGGGAACACACAGAACTGATAAATCGCTTTTGAGTCAGAGCTATGTGCATCATGTAGGTCCTAGTGACCTATGAATACCCTGAAAAGAATTCGAGCCCATAGCTTATTACTGCTGAGATATTACATTTTTAGGGTATTTTTTCGCTCAATCCCGTGATTTCCCTCAGGAACACCAGGAAAAGAGAGTTTCGAATTTCGATTTGAAACTTTGCACAGAGACAGGCCTAAGTGAGAATAGTTTATTGTGAAAGTTTCAGATCTTTTCGTTATTCCTATTGTAAGATATGGCTATGGAAACAGCATGTTGTTCACATCCATGATACAACAGTAGATTCCAATGTTTTTCTTTCAGAATAGAGCAATGGAAAAAGCTGAAACTTTCACAATAAACTATTCTCACTAAGACCTGCTTCTATGCAAAGTTTCAAATCGAAATTCGAAACTCTCTTTTCCTGGTGTTCCTGAGGGAAACCACGGGATTGAGCGAAAAAATACCCTAACAATGTAATATCTCAGCAGTAATAAGCTATGGGCTCGAATTCTTTTCAGGGTATTCATAGCTCACTAGGATCTACATGATGCACATAGCTCTGACTCAAAAGCGATTTATCAGTTTTGTGTGTCCCCTCGTTAGCTTTTTGGTTTCATCGAAGTGCAATTACTCATACATATTATATGACGTAGTTACTATTAGTTGTATAAATTACAGTACGTTCCAAGCATCATATAGTTATAGTTGAAAGAAATTTTTCTACTCTGTTCCCAACGAATACGAACTCACCTACGAGATTAGAATTCTTTGAGAAACATAGAAGGTTATTTTATCCAAAATAAGCATAAATCAATGAAAAGTGAAAGAGCATGTATATATTTGTTCATTAACAAACAAGCTGCTCTTGATGCAAGTCTAATTCCAAGCTTATAGCTTGTGAGAAAAACACACTCATCTGAGTTTCTATTCTATCGTAGAAGAAAGGGGAGGGGAGTGGTGGTACTATCCATCATCGCTTTGTGTGTATATTCATTCATGTATTTCTGTATCTTCATTATCTATTTTGTTGTACTTTTTTTATCTCATGTGTTATCATTCATCTTCTCTTAGTTACTTGATTTGATCATTCTATCTCTTGTAATCACAATTACTATTCTCTAATTGTTCTTTTTCAATCTACAACACATACACTTCACTCTATTGTCATACTTCTTTATTTCGTTCATTAAATTGTTGAATCTTAATTCACCTTCAAGTTATCTTATTTACTCATTTCATCAAGCGCTATTCTCACGGAGGTACCTGGCATAGCAGCTTGTTGCTTCTCAGGCAATACTGAGCTTTTTATCACAGATTCGAACTTGAACAAGTGTTCAAACGTCTCGAATTGTAAAACATTACTTATAAGAAAACATTTATTTCTGTTAATCGACGCTGTAAGAAGCACTCGAAGCAAATGACTTTATAAAAATTCATGGTGCAATCCTTCGAACGACAACAAACCTCAATTTTTCTCAAAAATCTAGACAAAACTAGTTAACTTGTGTTGGGTCTGCTGACTGAATCAAAGATCTGGCAAAGAATAATTAAAAACATATTCTATTATTGGAAGGACGCGTGACTTGAAAACAAAGAGTAGATATGTCACAATGCCAATACTGTTTGGTATGAAGCGTTGGTGTTTGTGCAGTAGAAAAAACTGACTTCGTGTTGTGAAATTTAGCAGAGATTATTATTCTTACCCCCATAAAACTTTGTTTCTTCTTGTACTTCTCGCTGCTGTAGTCATTCGGTCAACAATACGTGCTGGATAATATTTCAATGAATGACAGTTACCGAATAGACGACGTAAATCATTTTCACTAACATTTTCTGGTATTTTATTGACAATAACTGTTTTTCCGTCCAGATATTGACTTTGCATGCAAGAATGAGAGCCATCATAAGCACGCTCAACATGGCATTCAGGACCAAGAAGAATATAATTAATAGGTCGCAGAAGGTTGCATTCAGCCTCTTCTGATGTGTTGTGTAAAACAAACGCATACCTAAGAAGAGAATATTAATCATACGT